CATATATGTAAATCAAGCCGTTTTATATATATATATATATATATATATATATATATATAAGTCAAGATAGCCGTTAACACTGTTAAATAAATATATATATATATATATATATAAGTCAAGATAGCCGTTAACACTGTTAAATAATATTCATTCATTCATCCACGTATGCTTCAATATAATTTATAAAATTAGTAGAAAATAAAATATTCTTCAGAAGATGACTACTTTAAATCATAGATTTTATTAAAAGCACAAATTTTGGGGGCACCTGTCCCCCTCTTAAGGGTTACAATTAAAGTGAGTCAAAAACTGTACTTAAAGTCCAATAGCATAAGCCAAGATGTATATTTCATATAAACTCTTAGTATACAGTAACACTATGTACAAATAATTAACAAATAGAGAGAGTATACACTTAGACTCCGGATTAACTAACACAAACATAAAATTAGGAAAAACGGCCCTGACAAAACCGTAGCCCAACATTTAAATTTGCCCCATCATGCTATTATAACAATCTGCGTGTTGTCATTATCGACTAAGAACCTTCCTGGATTATCAAACTTAAAACTCAATACCCATGGCCTTAACAAATACCTTGACTTTCTAGCTGACTTAAACTTTCCCTTTGAACTTCTTTTTCTTGTCCATGATTCCCACCAAAGGTCTAATACAATATTAAAGATCTAAACAAGTCAATTATTATGCTTAACATTAATAAATAATTATTAAATGTATTTATTATCAATTGTTTATACAAATTCAATTGGCACAATTACCATCACACCTTTCCCCAGGACTATCGAGCCGGAGAATTTGGATGGCGTCTGAATCCTACCACAATATTCATTGATGCAATAGCTGCGCTAGGCCTAGCTTACGATTTGAAAACCATAAGCCAAACAATAATAGAAGCAAGAATACAGCGATCTGGTGATCCGAGTGCACGAAAGAGCAGAAATAAACTTGGCTGAAGAAACTTTCAGGAGGCAAATTTAGACTATTTACTGTGCCGATATTCTAAGCTGAAAAAGTTAGAAAGGTCTAAGAATGTAAGACACTAGCCACCCGTATCAACGAGCCTAATGAACTAGTATCTAGTACGCCATTAAAGTCGGAAAGCCAAGTTTCCCACTCCGTGGGAAACGATTTGTCTATTCAATAAGGGAAACATTTTTTCTTTAAATGACATAAAACGTACTACAACATGTCTAAACAGCTTTAAAATTTCAACAATTTCCCAAATTTTCAAGGCGTTTCCCCTGGTCCCCCACCGGGCTTCGTTCTCACTACATACCGGTCCTTATCTAGGCCTATCATTATGTAGCCTACTGTATATAAGCTTTATCGAAACTATAGTAAGAACTATATGAGCTAAAATAAGAAATATTTTAATCGTTATGTATACATCCAATGTGACTTATTTTGTGACAAATTGTATACGGAATAATATATATCTAATGTTGTCGTGGTTGATCATAAATAAAAATAAAATTTCTCTGCTGGTTTAATTTCAATTACTTTTATTATTTATTTTATGTAAGAAATAAATGTGATATGCATTATGTCGGTGTAATATGACTTCATCATGACCGAGTATTCACGAAAATTGTGATAGTGTGGACATAGCTTTATAGTGTTATTGAACGTCATTCGGAATAACAAGCAAAACATCTCGATGCATTCAGTCACTCAACCAGTGGTGAATTCAAGTGCCCCCACCCCACCCTAAATTTTTCAAAATTGTTTAAAAAGAATTGAGAAAAATATAAACATATTTTCAAATATTAAGTCTGAGAGTTGCATTTCCGGCATGATCTAGAGGTGCCGTAATCGTAAATTTTCTTTTGGGGCTGAGATAGTATAGACCCTCCATCTGTCAAAGGCCCTTCCTGGGCCACCTCTATTTCAAATTACTAGATCTGCCACTGTCAGCATTAGTGTCAGGCTATACAGTAACGTCGACTATACCAGAAAGTGCAAGTAATATAGTCGTTAGAATTGATATAAAGATCATCAGCAAAAGCATTAGGAAATCCAATCTGCGCAGCCGCCGCTGCACATCTTCGCTGCCGTCACCAGTCCTCCTGTCTTTTGCACACTACAAATAAATATTAACAATTACGATAATTATATTAATATAATTTAATGATAATAAAATAATAGTCACTCAGGAAATAACGATAATAATAATAATAATAATAATAATAATAATAATAATAATAATAATAATAATTAATATACTATTTTAATTAGGCCCTGTTTGCTTAAGGTGATTAAGCGGGCTTCTGTGCAGCAGTCAGATCATTAATCAATCAACCAATCAGTCCATTTGATTAATTGATTATTTAATTAATTCTTCCATTCATTTATTCATTCAGTTGTTTCATCATATTTCATAAATTCATGACACTACAAAGATCTAAATTGTTACTTTGCAAAATAATATCTGTCTCTTAT